AGCATCATCCCGATGGGACGGTGATGAATGGTCTCGGTGTGGTGCACGGTGTCCTCGGCCTTGCCGTGGCGCTGGCCGCCGTCACGGTGTTCTAGGCGCTCCCCCGTTTCTCTTCGGAGCTTTGTTTCCGCAGCTTGAAAAGGCACGCTTGTGCTGTTATTATTTTTTTAGTTTATTTTTTATTTTTCTGGAGTATTGTTTTCGTAATCGTTTTATATATATATATATATTTTGCTTTGAAATTGTGTTGTTGTCTTTTTTCGTAGGTGTTGTGTCTATGTTAGCGATTGAATTCTTTTCTTAATGCCGTTGTTGCTGATGCTCTTAAATGGGTGTGGCTCGTTCTTTTTAGTATGTTTAGTTTCAGTTGTTTTGGGTTTAGTGACAAATTTTTTCGTGTGTGGAAGTGGTGTGTCTTGTTGGTCTGAAGGCGGTGGGGGCTTGATGAATTGGGGTAGAAAGAGTTGTTTTTTTTTTTCTTTTGTGGTCGTTGTTTTGTGGAGCGATCGGAGTGGCGCATTATGTTTTCGCCTGGTGGACCTTGTGTTTTTTTGTTCTTTTGTTTTGTTTTCCGCAGGATGGTTTCCTTGAGGGTTGTGAAGGAAGATTGGTTGAGCGATGAGGCGGTGCTTGTGCAGGAGAGGTTGTTGTTTCGTGTGGCGGAGATGTGGGTTGGCGTGCTTCGCGCCGGTATGTTGAGGCTGACGTGTGGAACGCGCGCGAATGATGTGCGTTTGATGGCCGGGGCCGAGTTGCAGGGTTGTCGTGACAGGCCGAAAACGTCGTCTGTGGAGGGGACGCACGTGTGTGGAGTGGGTGCGGCGGTGCCACAGGAGGAAGCTTTTGGCCGGTGTGCGATGCGTGATGCGTTGCTTGCGGCATCGGGCAGTTTTTGGAGCGCGTTGGAGCTTCGACGATTGCACGCAGGGAGGCTGCGGCGGCTGCGTGCTTCACGGACTCCTAGCGCGATGGGGGTCTGCCACTTCGCAGGTCCTAATGGGAGGGAGGAGGCGTACGCAGCCAGGCGGGGGAATGTCGCGCTCCTTGCCGCTGTCGAGGAGTGCCAGCTGCGCCTGCGTGAGTGGCGACAAGGACGACGGAAAGGAGAACAACAGCAATCAAACTTGTTGTTGGTGCCGTCTTGTACTCTTTTGAAGAAGGACGATAGCAGCGCGGTTGGTGGCGTTGCTTCGTTTCTTGCCCGCTGTAGTTTTGCGGAGGCAAGGCGAAATCGCCTGCGTCGCGAGGTAAAGGAGTTGTCAGAGGCCTGTGATCGCGAACGTGCCGTGCATGCGTCTCTTTTAACTGAATCGCGTCGTATCTCTTCTCTGGCAGAGCGGGTCTTTTGCAAGCGCCATCTGCTCATGTCAGAGAGTGAAGTGACGACGGACCTAGCGCAGGAGGAGCGTGCAAACGCCAGCGTCACCCTAACGATGCAGGCGGTGCTGTCGCTGCAAACTGGCGTCTCTCGCACGCTATGAGTTGTATTGGCGTTGACGTTGTAGGATGATTTAACCCTCCTGAGGTTGCCTGTTCGCGCACATTTATATGTATATATATGTATATGTATATGTATATGTATATTGGACTTATCGTTGTATAATGTTTAGTTCGTTGCGACTTTGCTCAGCCTGTTTGTGTTTTTTTTTTGACGACTTTATCGCTGATTTCTTGATTCTTTCTACGCTTCTCTCACCGCCCAACCATTGGCGTCGTCCACTTTTCGCCCGATGAGTGTTTGCAGTGGCTCTATAGTGTGAATATAAAAACGTGCTGTAGACGTGTGTCGTTGGGGGCATTTTTCTGCTGGCGTGGGTGGTGATGGGTAAAAAGGTTTCTTTCCCCAGTGTACATGTATACATGAGCGTCTCTCTTGCACTTTTTTTTCTCGTTTCATTGCTTAAGGATTGAGTGGGAGTTTGGGTAGCGTACCTTGGACTGCGCAACGGCTGGGTTGGAGCAGCAGGCAAAAGGGAATAGGCTGTGTGTCTGTGTGTCTGTGTGTGTATATAAAACCAGCAGGATGAGTATGCGCATGTCGCCGGGGAAGATATACGCGGGCGGCGCGGCTATTATCATTGGGCTAACGGTGTGGAATCGTTACTCGTCACGTCACCTTCGTGACATTGTAGACAGCATCAAGGAAGCGAAGATGCAGGAGGCGGCGCGTTTAAAAGCAGGTGAGAAACACTGAACAGTTGCATGTGTTTCCCGTGCGCATTGGGGGGTTGGCCGTTGGGGGTGTCATCGTTTCCCACGTTTTGTGTTTTGTGTTTTTCTCTTTTATCCTGCTCACCCCTTCACTTCCGCCGTCGCCTGGTGCTGTGGCCCGCCGTCTGTTGTCGCGGTTTATGCTGACTGGTATGATTTCGTCGTGTTTTTCCCCCGCTTTGTTTTATTTTATTTTCATCGGTTGCATGAGTTTCTTTGCGTGCGCGCGTGTGCCTCGCGGCCGTTGCCGTTGACCGACTGTGCGGCTCGCTGCGCCGCCCGTGGACCCCCCACCTCCACTCCCTTGCGGGCACCCGAACTCAGCCGCCGCGTTGGGCGAGGGGCGCTGACGGGCTGCTGCCGGCCGCGCGGAGGGAGGGGGAAGGATGACGCAGCCGCACTCGCCGCGCGACCGCCCTGCAGTCCCGTGGGGCGGCGACGCGCAAAGCGCGATGGACGAAACGGCCCTCACGCAAGCGTTCTTGTACCGGCGGCGCAGGATGGAGGCGGCCTCGCGGCTCACGGGGGAAATGCTGGCGCAGGTCCGGGCCATCGCCGACGCCGGCGGAAGCCCGTCTTATATGATGCTGCTGGACGATGCCCCATCGCCCACCGACGACGCGCCGCGTTCACCGGAAAAAGCCGGCGCTGGCGCAACGCCCGGCGGGGATCGGGCGGCGCTGTCTGACGAAGCTACGATGACGCACCCGACGGAGGTGCTTCTTCACGACGAGATCAATCGGAAGGTGCAAAAAATGCGGGACATGCGAATAGAACAGCGGAGCGCGGCGGAGATGCAGCTCAAGCCCAACTTTCAGTTGGTTGAGCCTTCACTGGAGATGCCCGTTCCGCCGGCCGCATTTACCTCCACCTCTCTTGTCTTTGCATTGGAAGCGCTGTCCACGAGTGTCTCCAAGCTTGTGGCCGCAACGGATAGGATTCTAGTGCAGCTCTCCCTCTTGGACAAGACGACTCAACCGTCTATATTCAAGGATATGAACATACTTGTAGTGCACTCACAGCACGCATGGCGCTGCTACGCGGCGGTGCGGCAACATCTGAAGCAGTATGAGGTGTGTGCGAAGGCACTGCAGGATGCCACATTGCAGGAGCTGAGCAGTATGCGCGAGCAATTCTTGGTTCGCAAAGAGATGCTGACGGCGCAGGAGCAAAAGCAAAAGGTTTCTGAGGAGCATCTCAGAGCGCTGCGACTTCGGTTAAACAACCTTCATGCACGGTGCCGAATGTGGTCGGGGGTTCTACTGGACGAAGCCCCGCCGCTGCCGCTCTTTGTCTCGCCGCCGAACTCACCTAGGCGCGTTTCGCTTTCGCGCGAGCGCGACTCAATTTCGTTTATGCGATCCGCCACAAACAGGCGTCCGAGCGCCACGCTGCGTCTGAGCGTCGTTGGCGGGGCTTCACTGCGACGAAAGTCCAGCGTCCGTGTTTACACCCCCCTGTTGTCGCAGAACTTGGACTCCTCCTACTCCTCCACCTCGACAGCCGAGGAGTTTGACGGCCGCGTGGACGCCATGGAGGTCAAGGTCGCCCGATTTTGGCGCAACCCGTACGTTGTCAAGGCGCAGCAGTGCGTGAAGCGGAGGTGGCGACAGCGGCACCAGCAGCGGGAGCGCAACGCGACGTTGATTGAGGTCATGGGCCTTCCTGTGCTTTCGCGGAATGAGTCGCTGCAGCGCGCTGGGTCCTCGATGCGCCTTGCAAGTGACATGCACCGCCCGTCGCGGGTGGATACTGCGTACAAGGGGGGCTACGCCGCGGAAGCGACGGAGAAGGCGACGGCGGAGTCTCGCCTCATGTCCCTGCTAAGAGGCTTGCTGAGGCTGGCACCAAGCGTGAACAAGCAGACTACGACAACCGCATCGTCTTCGAAAACAGAAAGTGTGGAAAGCGTTGAGGCAACGGAGTTGGAGGACGACGTCGGTGGCGGGGCGGAGCAGACAAGCTCAACTCCGGACGCCGCCGCCTTGGCGGCCACGGGCGCGACGGTTGGCGCGGCGGATGCCATGTCGGAGAGCGCAAGGAACCTTTTGAAGTTTCTCGAAGGTTCCCTTGGAACCACGATGTGAGGCGGTAGTTATGCAGAGCAATCACATCGCACTTGTATGGATAAATGTAAAATATTTGCACATCTACTGCAATGGAGTGCGTGCCCGCATATATATATATATATGTGCTTTTCCCGTCCGTCTTCTTGCTTTTCTCTTCTGCGGGGCATGCAGGGCGTCCCTCTTCCTCCCTCTCTCTCTCTCTCTCCTCCCT